GATGAAAAACAAATTTTAAGAATCTTTTTCCCAAGAGATCATGTCACTGGAGAAAGACGTGATTATTGTTTCATTAATGTTGCAACAAAAGAAATAGCTCAAACTGCTATTTCTAAGTTAGATGGTTATTTACTTGAATATGCTAAACTTGCATGTGCTATAGCAAAGAAACGTCAAAATTGAATTTGATTATTATTTTTATTATCAAGTTATAATATTTTTATCGTTTTTTAAATTAGTTATTCTTTTGTTTCTTTTTTTTTTAAAAGATTTGAAAGACAAATCATTATGTTATTCTTAATGGTGATATCATTAAAATTCATCATTTATTCTATTTTATTTTACATTCAATACACAAATGCCTTTGTTGAATCTATTAACACTCCTTGTATTACTCAAGTTGAGGCAATATCAGATAATATGCTTTTAAGTAAAAATATGGAAAAATTTTTTAACTATATTACTAAAGAATATTGCTATAGTGAATTGCCTAATAGAAAAAGTGAAATATATGGGATTAATATTTCTGATGATTGTTATGTTTATTCAAAGCAAAAGTATATCCATTTATATAATCATACAATTTCTAGATGTGGTCAATGTATTGAAATTATTGGCCCATCATTAATACCTTATAAATGTATGATTGCTGGATGGTTTACATACAATGGATCTATTATTGACGATAATATATTAAATAATATTATTCTTGTAAATGATATTGTTGCAAAGAAATTAGTTTCAGAAAAAGAAGAATCAGGATTTCAGATAGCCATGTCTTATTCCTCTTGTAATTATGTAATACTACCATCATTACTTGTGATTCGTTCTAATTCAACAACTCTAACAGTATTGGTATATAATACGAATGAACGTCTTTATTCAATTAGTAATGGAGTGTGGAGTAGTGTTATTGATAAAGATGGTTATTTTTATATCGATCCTCCAATAGATGGGTTTTATGAAAGGTTGGTTGTAAGTTCAATAGAAAGGAGAACAATAGTTTTCAATAAAGTTACTTCACAAAGTGGAAAAGTTTATCATCCAATTTCACAATTTAGTAAAGTAAAAGAAAATAAAAATTGTTGTTTTATTCCTTCTAAAATAATATTTAATAATGCCATTAATTATTCATCATTAAATAGTGGCTTTAAATACTTAGTAAGTTCATTTATAATCACAAAAAATCTTGTTATTAACGATAAAATTAAAGTCACCCAAGGTATAATTAGTACCCAATCTATTTCATTACCTCTTAACGGAAAAAGAAATGGTATTGTTATTCAATACCCTACATCTGTTCAAGTTACAAAACACTTTAAGGAAACAGTTATTCATATAAACTCAACATCATTAGTTGTCAAAGCAGTATACCTTGCACAACTTAATTTAGTCTCACAAAATGATTCAAGCCTTTCTCATATTTTACTTGATTTAAATGAAAATTGTAAGTTCTTAATAGAAAAAACATTTTCTAGTCAATACAATCTTAGGATTGGACTCAACCAAACTATTAAAGGATTCTTTAATTCATTAATAATTGACTTTGAAACTAGTGACTCTTCTATTCAAATAACTTTCGCTGAAAGCATTGAAAGAAATGAAAGATCAATGGTAGGATGTACTATAGATTCTTTCGACTGTAACAATACTGAATGTTCTATATCAAATGATAAAGATTGTTATCAATACTGTGGAAGTTGTATGCCTGGATTTCATTGCACATCTTCTGGATTTTGCGAAATATCAACCTCTATCCCTTCATCATCTTTCTCACATGTTCATTTATTGGTTTTATTTCTAATCTTATTCCTATTCATTTAATATTTAATTATCTTTTTTAAACCAAAAATACTAATAAAAAATAAAACTAAGTTAAAAATTGAGAAACTCCTTTTTAAAGTGATAATATATTTAAAAAGTACATTGATTTAGAAAAAAATTACCCATTCAACGTTTGTTTATAATATCTAATCTATTTTATTTATATCAAAGTATATTTTTAATAAACTAGAATAGTTATAAGAGTTTCTTAAATACCAATTTTTATCTTTCAAAATTTAAATATTGTTCTTGAGAATTACCAAATAACTATAATAAATACAGAAAATATAAAGCAAAAAAAGAGTAAAATTTTAAATAATAAAGTGTTGTATAATTAATATTTAATCTAAACAAGTCATTTAAGAAGAGTACTAAAAAAACTTATTGTTTGTTGTGTAGTTCGTTAATATTTATACTTCTTTTGTTTTTAATTCTTATTAAACAAACTCAATGAACTCTTAATATAATCATTCAAAAGTCTAAATTACAAACTTTCTTGTTTATAATTTCTATTCCATATTCTTAAAAAACCATAATTTAATTTCATCACAACCAGTTATTTTGTGAGAGTAATTTTTCTAGAATTTTCAATAACATTAGACAAAGTATAATAATTTAAAAAGAACTTTTTTAAAAATATTTCCTAATATTATTAGAAAAGCAAGTGTTAAAAAATATTCTAATAATTATCTATTTAACACTTAAAAATATTTTATTAGTTATAGAATGATTATTAAGGTAGTTCACAACTCTTTTCTAAATTTCTTTGATTCTTTGTTTTCAACTTGTTATATTTAAGAAGCTTAAACAAAAGATTTTAAAAAAATAATATATTTATAGAATTTTAAAAGAATTTATATATTCTTCTATCTTTTTGTTAATTAGAATTGGATATACAGCAAATACTATTATCAAAATCTATTGTATTGGCATGAAGTTTATTCAATTCAACAATGATTCATATTCTTTTATTTTTTAATGATTTTGTAATTTTATATATGAAAAAATTCAACAAAACCCATAGATCAGGAGGTGTTTAGAGTGTCTCAATGTAGGTGACTGTATAAGTAGCGATGTAAAAATGAAATAAATTAGTATATAAAACACAAACGGGTTTTTAAATAGAGAAAAAAGGGTTTTTTGTTTTTTCATTAATTCTTTTAGAAAAAACAAATAAATAAAAACAATTAATGACTGCCGTTATTGGACTTCCTAATGGTGCTCTGAAACTTGTATCATTACAACCACCTAAAATATTAGCAACAAGCAAAGCTATTACAAAAACACCATCTACTGTTAATTTCATTGAATTTGATCCAAGTATTCCAGAGTCATATCGATATAGTACTGGTTCAGTTGTTATGGCATTATCGCATTCACCAGTTTTATATAAAATCAGTATTGATCCATATACCATTGAAAAGTTTCCATTACCTTCAAAACATCCAATAGTAATGATGAAGTTAAATGTTAGCCAATCTAATTTAATGTATTCTAGTCATATAGAAATTAATTACAAATCAATTGGACAACAAGCTTTACTTGTGTTACAAGGAGATGGAACTTTAACAAAAATTTTAAATAATAAAATTGAGTGGAGTATTAAATTAAAAAAATGGGATCTTAGAACAGAAGAACTGATTGAGCCTTTATTAATTGATGAAGAGTCAAGCGAAAGTAGTGAAGAAGATGATGACAAATTTGATGATATTAAAGATATCAATATTGATGATATAATTGAAGATGTTGTAGATATAGATACAAACAAACAAGATGAAGGGGATGACAAGACGAAGAAAGATCAGGAACAAGATGCTATTAATGAAGAAATTAAAAAAGATGGAGAAGAAGAAAAAATAGAAAGTGGTAATATGATTGAACAACAAGATGAAAATAATGATGATAATTTAAAAAAAGAAAATAAAGAAGAAGAGTTACCACAAGTTATTAAGAAAAAGAAATATATTATCCCTACAGAAATTAAAGGGTTATATGGTATTTTTGGATTAGGTGATGGGTTTGTTATTGGATCAAATAAAAATGCTCTTCCAATAAGGAGATATACTTTCTCAAATGAGGTACAGTGTTCACCACCATGTGATTTAAAGCATATTTCAATTTGTGTTATTGATGAAGAAATATTTTTAGGATGCAGTAATGGTATGATTCAAAGATATTCATTTGAGAGTAGAAAAAGAGCAGTACTATCTCATTACAAGAAAGTATATAAACCAGATGATCTTGCTCATCCAATCGAAAGGATGGATAAACGTGAAGAAGTACATCCAATGATTACTGTTCAATTATCTTCATTTCCTATTATTTCTATTTGTTCTATTCCTAATTCACGATTAATAGCATGTGGAACAAGTGCAGGAAGGGTATATCTTTTTAATACCCTTACAAATACAGTTGTGTGTTGTTTGAAAGGTCCTCAAGGTAGTGTTCGTTTATCTTCAGTTCACAATTATTTAGTTGGAATTTCTTTAGATAGGTGGATGTATGTATGGGATCCAATCAAAAAAATTCCTATTTCTAAGACTTATCTTCATGGTCTTCCAAACGCTTTGGTTCTTCATTAATTTGATTGATTATTAATTTATGTTATATAATACAAAATTATCAATATGAAAACTACTCTAAAATAAAGTATCTGGCTTCTACACACTTGTTCTAAATATATTTTCGTTAAAAATTAGTAAAAATATAATAAATTTTTAATAAATAACCAAAAAATAATGAGTTTGGAATAAAAAGATGACGTGGTGATGCAAAGTTGTCAATCTGATAACTAGAAAAAAGATTTGATGTTATTCTTATTGTTTGTCACATTGTGCTTTGGACAACACGTTGCCAACATTGCCCCAGCTGATGTTGAGAATTTTATTAACGAACAAAAATTTACATTTCTTTGTTTTACTGACCCAAAAGATGCAAAAATGTTGACTAAGAAAATGGAAAAAATGAGTTCTAGTTTTGAAGAAGTCACATTTGGTATTTATAATGCATCATTAGATGGAGAAGTAGAGACTAAGTATTCTATCTCGTCATTACCATCATTCATTCTTCAACGACCTGGTTATCAAAAGAGATTTTATTATGATAGTTGGAGTTCTGACACTATTTTTGAATTCTTAAAAGAAGGTACTTCTCCAGTCACTGAACATATTAGTTTTGAGAAAGGACAAGAACTTTTAAAAGAAGAGACAGTCAAAGAGGAAAAAGGTAAAAAGAAAGGAAAAAAGATTCACCCATTCTTTTTATTAGTTGCAAAATCTGAAACAGACAAAGAAATAATAAATAAATACATTGCTATTGCTGATGAATTAAAATTATCAGTAGAAGATCATTTCTATATTACTGAAGGAGATTTAGCTCTCTATCATAGAAACAAGGATGGAATTATGACATGGGACAAAAAGTTTGAACTTGATTGGTGGATGAACGTAGTCATTTTCCCAGTCTTTTCTAAGTTAAATGATGCTATGACTGATATGCTTGATTTTAACCATCAATTACCAATATTTTGGTATTTCTCTGCCAAGCATAATCAAACTGCACATGACATTATCAGGAAACTTGCTGAAGAATATCGTTTAAAGATGCTTTTCATTCAAGTTGATGGTAAGGATATTGAGCTTGGATTATATGGACAAACATCTGCACCATCTGCTACAATCCTCCATGCAAATGGAAGAACTATGTATCCATTAAAGAGTCTTGATAATATAAGTGAGGACATTAAAAGTTATTTCAATAATAAATTAGAACCATTAATAAGAAGTAGTAAAGAAAAGACAGTTATCCCAGAAGTTCAAGCTGAACAACTTTTAAGAAGTGAATTTGATGATGTTGTTAAAAATACAAAGGACTTGGTTATCTTTGTTATTGATTCTTCACCATTCACCTTGAGTGTTTTAAAGAGAGATATCGCTGCTTTCCTTAACAGAACTCATGCAGTCACTTCATTTAAACCATACTGGATGAATTCTGATACTGATGATGTTCCAGCAGAAATTCAATTTACGAATGTACCTGCAGTTTTAGTACATACTAATGGTGCTTGGAATACTATGGACACATACCCATCTCAAAAAGGAGTTATGGACTTTGTATCACAGTTCTTTAAATTTGAAGCATTACCAGAAATTCCTGAATCTCAATTACCACCATTAGAAGAGGAGGATGACGACGAAGATATTGAAGATGATATCGATGAAGAACTTGAAGAAGAAGAAGAACGAAAACCAAAGATTGAGTTAACTATAGAACAAGTTAAAGAACTATTAAAAGACAAGTTTGTTTTGAGTACTCTTGAAGAAATAAATTGGAAGAAATTATTTAAAGTTGGTAAAGCATTCAATGTCGATGATGATAAGTCAATCAAAAAGTTAATGGGGGATGATACGTTTATGAGCTTAATCACACCTTTTTATCAAGAACTTCATCCTATCAAAAGGTCAGTTAAACCAAAACACCAACGAGATGAACTTTAAGTTAATTACTCTATTCAATTAACTAATAGCTAAGTTTCTTTTTTCTTTAAAGTTCAATAAGAAAGGCTTTTCTTTTTTGTAGCGGTCTATTAAAATAATAGATAAGTATTATCAAAAACACAAACAAATACATTTTTTATTATTAAAACGTGAGATTACTAAGAGTTTTCCACAATACCATAAGATTAAAATAAAATATACAAAATTTATTGAAACAACAATAGTTTGTTTTATTTTGTGAAGAGAATCTTTATAAAAATCAAAAAACTGGATAAAAATAATTTATATTTTTAAAAAGCTTTGGTGTCAATTTTTTCTCCTTTATATTCTTAATTAACTCTGATACAATGGCAGAGTATGAAAAGAATGCTAGTTGATATCTTGGATATAAAATTTTATTATTAAAAAAATTATTATTCTCATTATTATTTTATTTTATATTATATTTATTCAATGAAATAAATAAAAAGATTGGTTATTAATAAATGAGATTAAGATTATTATTGAACACATATTTAAATATTAGCAATTAATGGGTAGTTATTTAATGTTTGAATTAGTTAATGATTAAATTTATATTTTTGATATACATCAACATGTTTATTTATAATTATTGTTGATGTGTATGAATAAAATAAATTGTTGTTATAAAACAGTCAAAGAAAATGAGAATAAAGAGATTTAATAAAGAGGAATGAATAATAAGATAATAAATTTAAGAGTAACTATTATAGAATTCACAATATTTATTGTCAATAACAAGGTAATAAATAATATAGTCGTTAATAATTTAAATAATAAATTAACAAGAATATGAATGAAAAAGACAATACTTCAATAATAAATAAAATAAGGATGATAAGTAAAATACAATATAAACAAGAAAAGCACAAAATGGTGATTTAGATATATTAATAATAAAGATGATTTAATAATTAATAAAATAATAATTTAGTTATGAATAATAATAATGATAAATGAATAAAGTGAATATATTTATTCATTTATATTTATTATTTTATATAAATATTCAACATTCATACATTAAATATAAAATATTAATATTTAAAGATAGTAATAACAAAAATAAATCAATTATAATAAATAATCAACCAGATATTACTTCAAATTCATTTTGATTGACTTTTTTAAATGGAGTATTATTTGAGTATTCAATTTGTTTAACACATTGATTATCATTTTTATTTTGTAGTCTATGAAACTGGTTAAATCCAAATGTGTTTATTGTGTTTTGGTTTAACAATTGTTCTGGTGGTTGATTTACATTTTCATTATTAACTTCATTCAGTTTCAGTTCATCTGGTATTGAGATATTGTTTTTTGTTAAATATTCAATAACACTTTCCTTTGTGATTTTATTTTCATTTATTATTTCATCTTCATCTCTCTTATTTGAATGGTTTTCATATGGAGATGATTTAGAGTCATCACAAGGATTTGTTATTTGATGTGTATTCATTTCATTTTGAGACATATATATTTTATTATTTATCATTATTGTTTTTGAATTATGTTGTATCCACGTTGAATCTCCTTCTTCATTACATCTATTCAAGAATGAAGTGTATTGACCTTCATTGAATATGATGATAGTTGGAATTGATTCAAGAATGATTGAACTGTATTTAATGTTAATTTTAATACTTTCTCCCCTTGTACTACAAAGTGCTTTGAATATATCCCAAGAGAATGTTTTAAAATTACAATCATCATATAGTCGAATGTCATAATTCTTGAATTGATCAACTGTATCAAACATAATTTCACCTCGATGATCTTCTATCTTTACTCCTTTTAATGCATCTCGAATAAATTCTGTTTTTCCTGTTTTTGTTTTACCAACAATAAATAATATTGGTACTCTCTTTTCTTTTCTTTCTAATGCTTTCTTAATCCATGTTCTGATCTCTTTTACTTCTATCATTTCTTCTTTCCATGGATTTAATCGAATATATATTTTCCTTGATTCTACTATTTCTTCAAAGTGTTCTTGATTCCATTTCTTCTGAAATGTAGAACAACTTGTTAACCATCTTCCATAACTTGATCCTTGTAATATTCTTGTTGCTTCTAAATAATCTGGACATTCAAGTGCTTCTTTTATAGCTTGGTCCCATGAAATTCTTATTGATTCACTAAATATTCCTTCTTCTTCATATTTCTCATGTTTCTTAAGATAATTCCTTATATTTTGATATGAACCATCCATATCACATAATCTTGAAATATAACTAAAATTAATATGTAATTTTTTCCCATGTATTTTTGTTTCTGGCTTTTTGTTAAATTGGAAAATACCATCCAATTGTACATATACATGAGAGTGTGAATGTGTATTTTGACTAGATCCTTTCTCATTTATTCCAACACCAATCCACTTAATTTGTTTTCCACATCCAAACTTTCCTATTATTTCTTTTGCTTCTTCTAAACTAATAACTTCATTAATTTCAAAATATATATTTTTCCCATGAAATTTAAAATATCTATGTTGTTTTAACATTGTATGTTGTTGTTTGTTTTTGTCATTCTTTTATTTCATCATCCACGTGTCAAAGAGACATTTATTATTAAATTGTCTGTTTGAGTTATATAGATTATAATAAAATATAATAAAATATAATATGTTTATAGTATAATCATCATTTACATTTCATTCATTTTTATGTATACAATTATGAATTGTTGTTATTCTTTAGAATATGTTGATTGTTTCAATTTATTTAGAATGAAATAAAATGAATGATAGAAACTAAATTGATGAAATGAATATAACATGAAATAATAAAATAAAGAGTTGTATAATATAAATTAGAAAAATGATAGGAAAATACATCAAATTAAATAATATATAACATATTAGAATATGTTTGATTAAAAATTAAACATTAATAAAAGAAAACAAAACAATAAAATTATATAATAAATGAATAATAATTTAAATTACTATAAAAAGAATGAAATAATATAAAAATATGAAGTGAATAACAAATGATTATATTATTCATATTATATTATTTTACTTCTTTCTTATTTTCTATTTCTCATCATTCTTCTTATTTCTTTAATTCAAGAGAGATGAATGGATTGTATAATTACATAACCGAAACTGTTGATTATTTTAGAACACTTTCTTGATTTATTCAATATTTATTAATATCAGAGAATTATTTTGTTTTAAGTTTCTTATTATAGTTTTCTTGTTCTTTATTTTGTGTTTTCTGATGATATTTTCTTAAATTCATTTTGTTTAAACCTCTTTATTTGATTATACTTTTCTTGTAATATCTTTTTATCTCTTTTTCTTCTTATTTACTTTTCTTCATAGTCTCTTCATAATTTAAAATCCATTACACGAAACATTACACAAAATATAAAATCAATAACAAAAGAATGGCAAATCCATATCCATCATGAAATATAAATGATAAAAGAATGAGTGAAAATATGTATTATCTGTATTGAAATACATTAATTATAAAATTAAACACTACTATAACAACTATCATTATAATAATAATGGTATGAATCATTTCACTCGTTACTTCAATCTTTTTCATCACCATAAGTATTTTATCATAATTCAAATAGAAATAATCATATTATAATACAAATAAATCAAATAATAAAACACAACGATGATATAAACAATATCATAATAAAAGACAACAACAAATAATAAATAAATGAAATTTAGAATAGTAAAACAGAATCCAAATGGAATAATTAAAAGAATGAAGAGAGCATTTGGTAAGAAAATTAATTTCAATGAATTAATGAATATAATACAAATAAATGAAATAAAACATGATGTAAACAATGTGTTTGAATTTCTAACAAATAAAATAAATAAAAGATATTTAAATGAAAGAAAAGAAATGTAGTGAATATATAAGAAATGTAAATTGTATATTTAATATTATGAAATTATCAGTAACTACATAGATGTCATTAAATATAAAAAGAAATGCATTCCTCCAAGTAGTAAAGATACAAGAAAGAATAACTATGACAAGAAATATTAAATCTAAAATACTCCATTGTGATGCTTTAATTTATTGTAAATATTGTCCTAACATAATTCCATCTATTAACCATATATTGTTATAATGTAATGAAGAATAATTAAATATTAAAACATGATTATGTATGTAAACAAATATATAAACATATATTATTTACATATTTTAATGAATTTGATGAAATAGATTTTAATACATATCCTAAGTGTATTAATAATGATGAAATGGTTATAACTTACAATAAAGATTTATTGGTTAATGACCATTCGTTTAATGTTGGAAGACCAGATTTATATTATCAAAACATCAAAGATAAAAAAAGGATAATTATTGATGTTGATATATGTCAAGATAGAAACATCGAATTAAATTATATTTACAAAATTAATAAATACAAAGAATTACAAGAGAAGTTAATACAAAGTAGAGAATTAACTTATGTAGAAATAATACTTGTAATATTAACAATCAATTAATACATAAAGAATCATAAGAAGATTAAAAACACTAAAATTACAAATTGACTTCCCCAAAATACTACGAACAATCATTATTAAAAACATGAAATATTTAATATTCTACATATTTAACACTGGTAACATATTATAAGAAGAACATTCTAATTCTCATATGTTAGAAATGAACTCTATTGTAGAAATAGAGCATATTGAAACACTGAAACAATCACTTCTTAATATGATGAAAATCAGTTTGTTTGTTATTCTTTTTGTTTTCTTTTTAACTTTATTTTATTCAGTTACCCTTTTTTCTTATTTCTTTTTACATTTAATTATTATTATTTCTGTTAACGATTATTCTTTTGAATGTTTTTATTGATTTTATATTGTTCTTCTATGTATTTCTTAATGGTGTTATTCAAAGTATAACATCACATTTTGTTGTATTCTTATATTGAATAAAAGGATTTATCATACAATTTTATAAATGAAGAAGAATAATGTTGAATGTAAATGTAAAAAAGAAGTGTTTCTGTTTTCTAAAGAGGAGATATGAAGTGTTTTTGTATTGATTGGTAAAAGTGAAAGTGGAAATCAGAAGATACCCTAATAAAACTATAATGAAATAGAAAAAGAATTATAATAACATTCTTAAAATTAATAAGAAGTATATAAACAACTAAAATATCAACTACCATCATTACAATGTCTGTCATTAACAAACAAATTAAATCTACTGTATTTACTAGTGATTCATGTATTAGGAAGAGAAAGTGAATAATGAAATTAAAGAAGAAAACATTATTAATGTGTATACAATAAAATATGGTATTTGTTTAGAGTTAAAAAACAAAGAATGAAGAAGGAGTTCAAAGGATTAATATTAATTGTGATTATGATGAAATGATTCAAAAGAAAATTAATAATACATTTCAAGAATTGGAGATGTTCATAGAACAAGATAAAAAGGGGAAATACATCAAAGAGAAATAGATAAAACAATTATTATAATACTTTAGATGAAGAAATAAGTAATTATGGAAAAAGAAATAAGAAACAATAATAAGTTGTAACACAAATAAAAAAAGAAAGAATAACAAAATATAATGAATCAAACAAAGAAGAAATATATGAAAAAGGAGAAAAAACAAAGAATATCATATTAAAGAAAATAAAATTAAAGAATATAAGAAAGTCAATGAATTAATAATGAGATTGATAATGGAAATAATTAGAACAAATACCAATAATACAACCATTTATTTATTATTAATAATTATATGATAATATTCAAATAACTTTTATGATTAGAATTTAAATTTAAACAATGTACTACTAAATAATTGATGGATAAGATATTTCACACTAAATTCAAGAGTTTATAATATATTTGAAGAAACAAAATAACCTAACTTTAATCAATAAACACAAAATGAGAGATAAAATATAAAATAAACAGAATAAGAAAGTTGATGATATTTAATGTATTTAGAATAGTTATATAACATAGTATTTATTGTAGTATTCTTTTAAAAGTATTAAATCAGAATGAAAAGAAAGAAGAAATAAATAATAAGATATCTATAAACAAAGTAAGTAGAAGAAAGATAAATAAATTCATAAACATTAATCATATTTTATTTTTAATAATAATTCAAATACAAAGATAAATGATAATTTATATTTCAACATAATATTCATTTTATCTTAAATCATTATTGAATCAAGTTATTTTATAATGTTTTTAACAATATAATTAACATCATTTCACTTTTTATTATACACAATCATTATTAACTTATCAAATGATGAAAAATACAAGAATGTTATCAATTATCAACATTTATTTTATTGTAAGTTTCATAAATAATAATAGAACAAAAATGAATCATAAATAAATAAAATGAACAAGAATTATGTATTTTATTATAATTCAATTTATTATTTGAACAAGAAATTAGAAATTGTTTACTAATCAATGAACAATCATTTAATACAATTTCATAATCCATTGATAAACAAGATACAAAAAATAATCAAAATGATAATGAATATGAGTATTATAAGAAACAAATAAATATAAGAATAAGAAAATAAGAATATAAAGATAGAAATATTAAAGAAATAAAGAAGAATGAAATACAAATATACGAAATATAAATAATATAGAAATAGAGAATATGATATAATAAAAAATAAAGAAGAAAGAAGATAATAAATATATAGAAATAAATATAATTGAAATAGAAAATATAAAGAAATAAGAAAGTTCAAAAAGAATATAATTAAAAGATAAATAAACAAGAAATAAAATAATAAGAGTAATAGATATACATATTAAAACATTAAATAAAATATATAGAATACAACAAGAAGAAGATATACAAAAAGAAATAATAGAAAATAATCAAATGAAAAGATTAATAGAATAAAATAAGAAATAAACATAAATAAAATATAAAGAAATAATGAATCAAATATAAAATATGATAAAGAAATAAATCAAAAAAAGAAATAATAAGAAAATAACATATTATAAAAATAAAGAAGAATAAATAATCAGAAAGAATTTGAATCAAATTATAGAAAAAGAAGAGAATAAAGAATCAAATTAAATCAAAATAAATAAAATATATAAATAATATACAATGATATAATATATTTATTACACATTATAAATTAACAAATAAGTATAAAATGATAATAATAAATGAAATATATTATAAACAATTTACAATACAAATATATTTACTTAATATATTTAATAAAATAGAAAATATATAATATAAATATATGATATAAATGATAATAATATATCAAAAGAATATAATAATAAATTGAGTAAATAAAAAGATTTTTAGAAAGAAATAAAAGAATAAATAGAAATGAAGAAATAAAAGAATATAAAAGAAATAATATATAAATTAATAATAAAGAAATAACATAAAAACAGATCGAATGAAGAAAAACAATAAATATAAAATCATCATAAACAATATAAATTAAATAATATTTAATTTACAATCAAATACATTTGAATTATTAAATAATCTAAATGAGTATGATTTATTTTATTTGTTTTGTGGTGTTTGATTGATATAAGTTTTTTTTTCTCAAAGTAATATCAAAATAAATATATAAATAATAATAAACAAATGATAATGATATAATAAGATAATAAATTTTTTGGTAATTTTGTTTATTTATTCTGTCATTTTTATATTAATGTTATTCTATATTATTGTTGACAATTTATATTTTATATTGTTTATTATTATTTAATAAAGAATCATGTTATTTAATCTTTATGTTATTGTTTATTATTCTTATCATTATATTCTCTTTATCTCTGATTGATGATTATAATAAACATTTTAATTATATTTATTTATTGAATGATTATTATAATATATGATAATGATTAATGAATAAATTAATAAATTCATTTCAATACTATATTAATAACGTGCTCTTTTATTATATGTTTTTTTATTTATTTTAATAAAAATAAAATAATATATAAAACTATGAAATGAATAATATAATTAATATTATCTCATTTGTTATTATTCTTCTTTTTTAATCCTTTTATTTCATTTTATCAATCTTCTTTTTCAAAACACTCTCTTGGAATTGTCATATTTTGTTTTAATTCTAATCCACAACCACAATTAAAGAAACAGGATTTCCCAAATGATGTAATTGATGTTGGTATATCAATATTAGTTAATGAAATACACCCACTAAAACAACCATCACCTATTGTTCTAACTGATGAAGGTATATTAATTGATGTTAGTAATTCACACCCAATAAAACAACAAGTTCCTATTTTACTAATAGAAGATGGTATAATTATTGAAGGTAAAGAAATACATCCACTAAAACAACCATCAGGTAATTTATTAATTGATGTTGGTATAATAATTGATGTTATTGAGTACATCAATGA